CTTTCCCTCCATACCTTCTCTCTGCCTCCCCCTGTTCTGGACGGTAATTGAAAAGAGGGAGGAGAAAAAAAAGCCCAGTGAAGCCAAGCCTGTCATCATAAAAACATCTGCAATTACATCCGCTCTATTCATTATTTATGAAAGTCATTAATTAAATATTACTCACAAATAGCAATAGCATTTTCCCCCTTTTTTTGCCCTCATGTTGTCTTCAAAATGGGCACGTTTTCTGCCAAACATCACAATGCCATCTGCAGTAAACATTTATGTTTAGACAATAAGAACGATTATGTACGACCAAGGCCTGTGGTGAACATAGAGTGGTCTTTACTTCTTGAGAGAGGCGGAAATGTACTTATTCCGCATCGGCGTTTTCACCGCACACCTTAGTGCTGAAATTATTTGAGATAACTTGATTCATTTTCAGGCAAATGGGATATTCTAAAACGGCCCCCTTTCTCATTTTTATTGGCCTGTCTAAAAATGTCCCGTAATGAGAAGAGGAAATGCTGTCACAGGATGACATCACCCCCACATATGATGTGCTAAAACTGTAAGCGGTGGGATTTCTGGTGCCAATTTGATAAGTTAGACCTGTTATTCCCAAAATTGTAAAGATGAGGAACAATCTCATCAAACGAGGGGCTCCATGGCGTGACGCTCTTTTAAAACGAGCGGGATGACATTCTAAGTGGGGAGCCGGGCCGCTCTGAGAGCACCGACCAGCGCCAGGTACAGCTGTTGTAACTCTTTCACTTAGCGGGGCCCCTACATGGAGGCTCTCAGCCGGTACGAGGGCCCACGCTCACGACACGTACGTGATGGATTGAGTCAGGGAAAACCATCATCTGGTCGTGCATGCGCGTGCTGAGCGAGGTGGGCCCCGCGTGATTAATGATATTTGCCTGGAGTCATCGAAAGCTGGATTTAAGTATTTCGGATTTAAAGTAACATTCGTCTCTATTGTTCACAGCGAGAGAGGCATTAGTCAAATTCAGCCACGTCTCCACAGACGACGACACTCCAACCCCTGGAGCACGCTGTGTAACAGTGCGGTTGTCTCACTCTCGTTTCGACAAATTATTCATGCAATTTTCGCCCGTTTTGTCTGATTATCTACAAATCTCTCTCACGACTGAGTTTATCATCCTGCCAAAATCATTTATTTCTCAGTAGTATTTCCGCTGAGTAAATGTTTGATGAATTGCTGTCATTACGCCTGTTTTTAAAGTGCAAATATATTCTGCCAAATATAGGACTTTGTTTATCATAGTAATTTTGCAAACATGCAATATACATTTTTTTTAAATGTTTTTCTTTTTTTCCCCCATGTTAAATAAGTTCTCAAAACATGACAATATCTGCTGTATCAGATGAAATAATTTTCAGTAAACAATCTTTAAAATAATAATAATAATATTTTTAAGCGAATAACAAGTAATTTTCAGTAAACAAACTTTTTTTTTTTATTAAATATTACTTTGTAAGGGCAAATGCATTCTTTTTTTCCCCATATTTTGAGTTCTGCGCTCCCAAGGTGAAGGGCCGTTGATGCCATTAACAGAATGGACAGAGAGAGCGAAAAATCCCTTGTGACAACTGAGTAATGAGATGAAATGATAGACCTGGCTCGGGTCTGGCACTGGTATTTTGTAACTGTAAACGTCCTGAACTCAGCATTAAACTGACCATCTGATCCAAGACTAACAAAGATCCTCAAGGTCAAAGACACACTCCCTCTAAAATCGAGTTCCTTAAAGCGCTTAGCAAAGCATAATTTGTGCACCGTGTTTCCTTCGGCTCAAATAAATCACTCGGCATAGATGGTCAAATACAAACGTCCAAGTTCGACTGACATGAACGGACTTACATTTTTCTAGTACTGAGGCAGATATCAGCCCTTTCTGGTCATATACTTTCAAAAAGCAGAGGGGTGAAAAAGCAAAGATAGCACCTGACTGCCTCGCCGCTCTGTTTCTGTACGTCTGCAGCTTCTACGGATCTGTCAATGGAAATCCAATTGCCGGGAAAGCGTTCAATCCTAACTCGGTTACCTTGGCGAATAGTGGCATCCACTGTATCCACTGCTGCCTGTTTGAGCTGTTTGTTTTAGGCCTAAATCACGGCAGATGGGGTGTGTGCCAGCGTGCCGTGAGGAAAATATACATTTGGAATTACTCACAGTCAAAGCAAAGCCTTACTGTAGACTTCAAAGAACAGAATATTATAATTCATGCTGTAAAATATTGAGAACCAGGAGAAATATGCAAAAGAGTGCTTACTCAGTGCTTACTCTTGCAGTGTTACTGTGCAACAGGTTTTAAAGAGACAGCTCATCCCAAATTGAAAGTTTTGTGATCATTTTCTCACCCATATGTCGTTTCAAACTTGTGACTTTCTTTTTTTCAGTCAAACACAAAAGGAGAAGTTTTGAAAAATGTTCACAGTGCTTTCTTACATAAAATGAAATTCGATGGTGAACAATGCTGTCAATCTGCAAAAAAAAAAACGTGATAAAAGCATCATAATAATAATTATTATTCTATAATAATAATTAAGTCATCTGAAATCATATGATGGCTCTGTGTGAGGAACAGACTGAAATGTAAGTTATTCACTGGAAATCTTGCTTCCCATCCATGTTCACCATCAATGTCAGAAATTAAGACTTTTATTAATGGGCAATATTTTAAGGAGCATTTTAAACATTTTAT